ATTCAACCAGTTTGCAAGTGAGACTGTGGCATCCTTCTGTGGTCTTCTGCTGTACTTAGACAGTAGGGACTCCTGGCATGGAACGATAAAGATTTCCTCATGTAAGACAATTTCCTGTGTTCCTATAGACCTCATATGGGGTGGTCTGCCAGACTTAGTTCTATGCAATGAATAATTATATAGAGATATGTGGGTTAGGAAAAGCCACTTACTCGTTGCCATAAAAAAAGAAACCGCATCCCTTCCCCAATGATGTAGATATGCATAAAATGGATATCTGCCAATATACACATATTAGTTTGAAAATAATTCCTATAATCTAAATATAAGACATCTCCCAATTGGAGAAGGCTGACCAAATAATTTAAGAGGACACTCACTATGCAGTCCACATGATGAACAATTCTTCTTTCCTTATGGGTCTTAAATGTGACTTTGACTTCAAGTAGAGAGTGTCTTTTGAAGTCCTGCCAAAATTTTAGATACAGGATAGTCACCTACAAAACAGGAGATGTGGTCCGCATTGTTTCTGGAAAGGATCTCGTTCTTTCCTTATCTTACTTCTACAACATCTAGTCCTTACTAGCATAAATGGAATTTTTGTGTGTGTGCCAGGAGCGACTTGCAATGGAATGAATGAATCAATGTAATGTACACACATGTTGACTATTTGTTCAGTGGGTCTACTCTATATTTAGGATTAATAACTGGATTTAGGCTGGGGTGGGGGGAAGGGAATTCTATAACCTAATTCTACACCTCTCCGAAAACAAAGGATTTTTTCACAATATTTATTCGAAGATATATTATTTATTTATTTATTTATCAGTTTTGTATACCGGTCTTCTCACCTCCGTTTGAGGGACTCAGGCCGATTTCCAACATCAATATTACAGACAGTCATTAAAACATCATATTCTAAATCACACTAAAACATTAAAATAGCAAAATACAATCATATAATTACAGTGGCCAGTCGTCATCAAAAATCATTATTCGTCGTCATCCATCCATATCACAGGATCATGGCTGATTCGTCGAATGCCAATCCCCAAAGCCAAGTTTTCACCTGTTTCCTGAACGTTAAGATAGAAGGGGCAGTTTTGATCTCCAGTGGAAGGGAGTTCCAGAGTCGAGGGGCCACCACCGAGAAGGCCCTGTCTCTCGTCCCCACCAGCCGCGCCTGTGAGGCCGGTGGGATCGAGAGCAGGGCCCCTCCAGATGATCTTAGCAATCTTGATGGTTCATAGGGGAGGATACGTTCGGACAGGTAAATTGGGCCGGAGTCGTTTAGGGCTTTATAGGTTAAGACCAGCACATTTGAATTAGCTTTGAACCATCCAATTATGCCCCTCCCAAATTCCTGCCTATATCTCCCATGTCTTCTCAACAGACACTTCTAGTTTGCAAAAGCTACCATATGCAAGGCTTCAAGGTGCTATAACTCTGTATAATACACTATCCCAGTTTAACAGATCATTCTGTTACTATATTGTATTTTTACCAGGCTACTATCAGTTTCTTTGCATGTGGCAAGGAAATGAAGAAAGACAGACCACCGCAATTTTCCCTCTGAAAATAACAGATGATGCAAACTAAAAATAAACACTGAGCTCCTATTTTGAACCTTCATCATTGTAACAGTTCTGTAAGCCATCCTTCTCTGCGTGCTTTTAGCTCCTAGATTCCCACTTGTCCCAGTAGACAGGTATTGAAGAAGTAGGAAAGGTGGAGCAAAGGTGATATGCGTTGAAATAGAATCATTTCTCCTGGTGTGCTAAGTGTGTTTTTAAAAATTAAGTTGGTAGTGTATTAAAATTCCACCTTCAATTGCAGCAGTACAGATTCCTGTATTAGCCCATTAATTCTTCTGCAAGTTCAGGGCAGACTACATAAACTGGTCCAAATGATAAGATCAAGGTGCATATACTTCTAATATAATTCTCTGTCTGTTGGCAGACACGCATTTTCTGACCTTTGTGTCACCTTGGCATCTTGAAGTAATTTGAAAGGCAGGAACACAAAAAGACTTTATTATATCCCGTAGTTCTCTCTTCCCCTAAACACATGGAAGACATAACTGGGCATGCAACATATGGATTCTATGGAACAAAGGCAAGGAGATGAACTGTTTTATTCCATTTCCAGTTCTGTGTTTCTATGAATAGAGATGCTTTTCTGCTTGGATTTGCCAGCAGTAAATCTCCACAGCTGTTGAAGGAGAATGTAACATAAAAACAGTCCTACTGCATCAGACCAATGGGCCATTAAACATAGTTCCTTGACTCTGAGTGTGTCTAGATCCAGATGCTCACAACCATGTAGAACAGCAGAGGATACTAAGAAAGAATGTCATTTCTGATGTTCACCCCAGCTTGTGCCAATGTCAAGTCTGGGCACATACTAAGCACATGGTTGCTCTACCATCTGAGTTATGATAAACTGTGGATTCACTTGCTATTTCTGTTGCTACAAAAGTGAGATAACATTATCAGAAATTTAATCAGGCAGAAGTCAGAAACAAATTGAAAAAACATCAACAGCAAAAAAGAAAGGTAAACTTACCGTATATACTCACGTACAAGCCAATCTGAATATGAGCCGAGGCACCTAATTTTACCACAAAAACTGGGAAAACGTATTGACTCGAGTATAAGCCTAGAGTAAGAAATGCAGCAGCTACTGGTAGATTTCAAAATAAAAATAGATACCAATAAAATATTTACTCTATTTATACCTCGTCTTTGTCTACCCCGAAGGGGACTCAAAGAGCATAGGTAAAGGTAAAGGTAGTCCCCTGACATTAAGTCCAGTCATGTCTGACTCTGGGG